TATCTATCTATCTATCTATCTATCTATCTATCTATCTATCTATCTATGCAAGCCAATTGAAGAACCTGTTCTTTCCAGTCTTAAGCATTGCATGTGGTTCTTTAAATCCTCATCAGAATAATAATATTCTGATAATACTTAACACTTGATTATTCTAATTCACAACAGAAGAGAGGCATGCTACTTTCTTGTTTTAAAACGTTTATAAAATTTAAAATCTGTGAAACTTTCATCTGGGACAAGACTTTTAAAGAATTTAACTTTCTAATCTGAAATAATATTGGGATTAACTACTTGAGTCTATAAATACAGTCTAGAAAGTCAGTGTCTATGTGCATTTGTCTATGTGGTTGTGTGTGTAAGACATAAATATAAATATAGGGATACATAAATATGGAAAGTGTAAAGTTCTTTCCCATCACCCAAAATCTTAAAAGCTGAAACTTACTCATGTAGAACAGGTCTTGCAACTGTCTCTCCCCGAGTATGTGCTTTATAAAACAGGGTATAGAGATATGGCAACAAACTGTAACGTATTGTTAGGTAGTGTTTCGTTGAATTCACCAAAAGTGAGTTGTGTCCAAAATATGCTGGATCTTTAGGCTAGAAATAAGTATTTATAAAGTTACTGGGGAGAAAAAAGCCTTCAAACAATCAGAAGCTTGATCTAATTTTAAAATTGGGCTTACAGCATATGCCGCAGCATTGTGATTCCTAGAAAATGGGTAAAATGCTCCAAGTTGCAACCATCGTCTGCAAAGTTCTTCTGAGACATTTTCAAGGAAGCCGCAAATATCTGCCCCAATCTAAAAGAGAAGCACATTAAAAATCATTGACATACTGTATGATATGTCTGCATAAAATGTGATGCTGTCATATCTACAAATTCCACATTAATCATTTCTCAGAGGACCAGTATAAATTGATTCACACTGGTCTTCGATAGAGGTTTTAAAAAATCTAAATCATGTTTGGATGATTGAGCAAAGAGAAATAGGATAGAATAGCAATGAGATCAGCCATTACTGTATATGTAAATATTTGTATCTGACTTTTCTAAATATATTTATATGTATATGTACCTATACATATATATGTATGTACACATATATACATACATGGATGTATATGCATGAATACATATGTACATACATATACATTCTATGATTAAGACACCAGCCTATGAAAAATCAGTCAAATTTATAAGAGACAGACAGCTTTTCAATGTATATTTTTATAAAAGCCCAAGTACAAAAAGAAGACAAGCTTCAGGCGATTAGATATTGCATAGTATAGTAGCCAATGCAATAAATGTCTTTTCCAACAAACAAACAATCAGCCTCATTTCAGTATAAAAAAAAAGAGAGAGGAAGAATTTACTAGCTTTCCTTATGAGACAAGGAAATTCATATCACATTGATGTCCTTTCAGTAACTTTGATTCTCAGCTACTTTTAAAACTAGAAAGAAAATCTTATAAAAAAAGATCTTATAAAAAAAAATCCATTGCCCCGTCTATTCTGAGATACCTTTAAATCCATATTTTTGCTTTTTAAAATAATTTTGTTTTCTGAATACATCTTTCTGTCTCATCTTTATTCTTTGGATTACCACACTGCAAAGTGGTACTGTTTTGGAATTGCAGATCATACCACAGGAGAGAATAAAGGTAGCTCAGGGTCGAAGTATGGATCCTTGGTGCTGTTTGAACTTGCTTTCAAATGCTTCACTGCCCAACTATGTGACATTATCAGCATGGTGCTACATAATCCAGTAATGAAACATTTGCAAGTAAACAACCAACCTCATAGAGGACGAAGGGTTCCTCAATTCATGCAGCCTACCAAAGGATTACTCCAATAGAAAAGAGATAGTCAGGCATTTCAAAGTATATAATTGAAGTTTACTATATTATATGTTGTGTAAACCAAGTCTAAAGAATATGGTATGCATAGATCTCCCCTAAAGGGATACATATTTGTTGCTGACTGGGGAGAAAGAGGGGGAGGTTAGAGCGGCATCCGTGGCTTTGCTATTGGACCAGATGGAATATGTGCCTACTTCTTAAGAAAGCTATCCACTGCCATAGCCAAACCTCTAAGCATAATCTTTGAAAAATCTTTCAG